CACAAGTTGATGGAGAGGAGGTATAGATTGGACATCCGCAAGAACTACTTCACAGTTAGGGCGGCTAGGAGCTGGAACCAACTTCCAAGGGAAGTGGTGCTGGCCCCTACCCTGGGGGTCTTTAAGAAGAGGCTGGATGCCTACCTGGATAGACTCATTTGAGTCCCGTTTCTTGTTTTTGGGGTTTTTGTTGTTCTCCTGCCCTGGCGGGGGGTCGGGCTAGAAGATCTACTAGGTCCCTTCCGACCCTTAATCTATGAATCTATGAATCTATAAGTTCAGGGGGCTGCATATGCGTCATATGGAGCCCCTGCAATAGAGGCAGCCTGGCTGGGCTGCACTCCTCGCCCCCATGTGCAGCACTGGCCAGAGCTGTGCACCATCAGACACTAGCACCAGCACCAATACAAGTGTCCCAAATACCCCTACCTGCTGGTGTTTCTGTTGCTGTCAGAGGGGGCTGTGCACCATGCAGGGGAAGGGGGTGAGGGAGTCCCCAGATCCTGCCATGATCTCTCACACCCCACAAAAGCCACACACCCACACCATGGATCCACAACCTCCCCACATATATACACACCCCCAACATATCCTATTGCCTCCCTATACCCTACCATACACACACACGCCACCATACAGACACGCCCCCACACCCACTCCCACACTCCACCACACACACGCACAATATACAAAAGTAAGACTTTATTTTTGAGTCATTCTGCAATCACCTCTATACATTATGCAAACACAAATCACAACAAAAATATTTTTTGTAATAAAATTAAAATATGTAATAGTAGGTGTTTGACTTTTAGTGTATGATTTGTTTGTTTGTTTTCCAAGATGGAAATTCCCTGCCCAAAGGAATATTTTCAGGGGCAAGTGGAGGTACTTCCAGTGGCAAAGGTCAGGGATTAGGGGAGGAAGTTCTGGTTCCAAGATGATGACTGGAGTGGGGATGGAAGGCAACAGTTAAGGGGCAGGACTATGTACATGGCCCTCAACAGCTCACCAAAACTCATTAAGCGGCCCTCCAGCCAAAACAATCGCCTGACCTGGACCTTGTGCTGTCTCAAAGGGAGTTTGAACCTGGGCTTACTCTGAGTTACCAGTACAGTGTTCAAACCACCATGCTGCAGGTTCAGTCACTTCACTAACGCACCATTAGATACCAAGCCATAGCCCCTGCATTTAATATAATCATTAGGACAAAAAATGGATGGAGGGCAGTATGGGAGGAAACTCCATCTTACTGGAACTGACACTTCTGGCCCTGTCAGGCCAGCAGCCACCTCATTAAGCCACACGTTCTCCAGCTTGTGGTCTTCCTCCTGGCTCTGCATATCTCCTGCATTCTTTTTAATTGTTGCCACCCAGGAGGCTAGCTTTAAAAGGAGTGCCAGAGAATGAGGTGGCTAATGGCTGACCTGTGGTATAGTTATTATAATACTGTGTTGAAAGAAGCCCAGGCTTCTTTGGTGGGTGGAGCCTAGAATCCAGGTTCTCTGACTTCCTAGGTGAATGCCCTAGTAACTCAGGTTGTGGGGGCAAAGCATAGGAAGCCTCTCCTCTGTCTCTGTTGCAAGTTAGAACATGCAGTCTACACATGTAGATGACTACATACACTAGCAGGTTACATGCCTAGGAACAGAATTATGATCTGGGCATAAATGGCATTTTTGGCACCTAAATAACCAAGTAGGGAACAGAATGCTACCCTAGACACCTTTAGAAAACTGACCCTTAAGCCATGAAACAACAAGCAAAGCAATATTTAGATACCTTTTAAATATCTCTGGGATTTAGTGCCCAACACAAAGTACCTCATAGCATTCATAGTCAAAACACACTCCTCCTGTCCTGTACTGCTGAGACACAGCTTCTGGCTTCTGTGGAAGAACTGGCAAACTAATCAGATAAAAATGTTATGTTGGGGAACCTTTTTTTTTTCTTTGTCAGTTGTGAAAATCAATTTTCCACCCTTTTCTCCATCATCTGTTTTCCATATTGTTAACCACAGGCTTGCTTTTCCATGACTCCAGACTCCTCTGGCCATGCAGATCTCTACTGAATTTCATCACCTTTCTTAGTTTTGACAAGCAATAAATTGCCTCCAAATAAGAAAAAAAAAAAAAAAAGATTTTCGTACAGTTTCAAAGTTAGAGAGTCAGCCTGGATAGAAGGGATGAATCTACAAATTGAAATGCGAAGGCTAAGTGTAGCAGGCTCTTAAAGAGCACATTTGGTATACCTAATTCATCCTAGAACCTTTTCCTTTTTTATTGTTTAATAGACTTTAGTTTTTACTAATTAATCCAATGTTTTAGTAGTTAAAAAGCATTTTGTCATTGTTGCCTTTGATACAACCATTGATTTACTATGCCAGCTGAATCATCAGTATTGCTCACACTGGGCACATCTACACATGCAGTTAGCATGGCTGAATAAACTCTGGCACAGTTTGCACCAGAGTTTATTGCTCCCAAGCACAGCGTTACACATGCATGCAAAACTGCAGCATGTAATGCTCAAGCGGCACAGGCCCAGCCAGCAGGGGACCTTGGAGGGGCCAGCCTGCCAGCCTGGAGCTGCTCCACCTCAGCTGAGCATGCTGCAGAGGGGCCTGGCCGGAGCGTGAGGGTGCTACAGTGCAGGGCTAAGCAGCAGGCAGCCCTATACTATAGCACCCTTGTGCCCCAGGCAGCCCCTGTCACTGTCTACATGCATGTTGCGGTACACTAAATAACTGCACCGTAGGATAGTACTTGTGTTGGGCAGTACTATCCTACAGTCATAGATGGATTATTGCACAGGTCAGTTGGGCCCAGGCCCAGGGGCCACTGCCAAACTGGAACCCTAGAAGTGTGGAAAACAGGCACAGTGGGGGAAGGCAGAGGGAGACAGCTTGGTGTGAATGCAACCAGCAGCTAGGACGAGTCAGTTATGTATAACGCGATGGGGCATGACTGTGCCAGAGACCTGAGAGCAGCCGGAGCCGCTGGCAGCAGGAAGCAGAGTCTGGTGTGGTGTGTGGACAGGACCTGCCAGTGGTGGGGCAGCCCCAACACAGCCAGGTCCCAACCATGATCCTGCACATTGGCTGCGTGCTGCTGCAGCTGTACTTGGCTGTGGCAGAGTGAGGGGTTGCGCCCAGAGCTTGGTTTGTACCACCTGCACCCAGTGGGCAGCAGCTTTGTACCCCCAATGCTGCCCAGCCACAGAACGATGTTGTACAGGGTCCTGCACAACCAGCCCTGGGATCTGGCTCCAGCGTGGACCTGCAGGGTGGGGTTGGCCATGGCTCTTGCCCCAAGCCCATCCCACTCCGGCTGCTGCTCCGACTGGAGCCTGCAGGTGCAGGGGAAGGTGTGGGTTGGGGAGGGGGCCCAGGCCCAGGGCCTCAATGAATCTTAATCCACTTCTCCCTACAGTGGAGTTAAATAGTTTATTCCGACTTAGTAGCACCGCACATGTAGGCAGCAATGCTTTACTATGGAGCTAATTAGTCAACTGCAGTAAAGTGCATGCGTAGATGCCCCCCACTGTATTTTATCAGAGAACTTAGATAAGATACAGTACTTTCTCTTGGTATGAAAGAGTGGCAGGACTGTTTAGTAATTAATTCAGCAAATTGGTAAATGGGGCTTTCTGGGTTATTTCTGGCTTTGTTAGTGACTCATTCTCTGATTTGTGAAAATGTGACTTTGTGCCTCAGCCAAAAAGATTAAATACCAGTTTTTCAGAGATGCTAGAAGGTACTTATTATTTGTAAAGTGTTTATAGGAATCTATGGGGGATGATGTGTCACATGATTGTTCAGTAGATGCATTTGTATATCACTTCAGGACATTTACAGTGGTGTTCTATTTAAATAACTGTTTCTAAACCTCAGGTGTAACCTTCCTCCAACCACAGGAAGCATTAGCAAAGATGTTGGCAATAAAACAAATCTTGTGACTGTTAATCCAAGCATCATTGCACAGAAGTAAGTATTGCTACAATTTCGTTTCTTTGTCATATTGTTTCATTTTTTTGACATTGTTATAAACCTTTTGGAATGTCATCAGAGTTAGCAATGAATTCATACTGTTTTATGGTTGATTTTTAAGATCTACTGGTGTAAACAAAATTATTAAGCTAGTCTCCTATTTTTTTGACAGCAAAGAGGCAACAATACAGAGAAGAGCAGTGCCTCTATTTGAAACCCACTCACATTTTCCTTGTTATGGACAATAGCAGCACTCCTCATTACAAGCCCATTCTCTGAAAAAAAATCACGTTATAGCCATGCTTTTGGAAAGTCTTTCAGCATATGCTGAAATTCATCATTGGATTTTAAACATATGCTTATACTGATCTCTCTCTTTTCATTATTCCTAAAGTGTTTTGTCTTCCCTGACTTGACAAAAAAGTCTGGTAAGGACTTGCTAATTAATGTAGTACCTCAAATTATATTTTGGGTCATTAGCTGTTATAACTTGGGCTTATCTACAAAATGGACCTTGAATATATTACTAAGTTCGCTTCCATTTAAAAGTAAGGCAGAGACAGTACAGTAAGCAGAAAGCTGATAGAAGGGAGTTTGTCATCGAACCAGGGAGACAGCTGCAGTCTTCAGAATAAATTCTGCTTTGATGTTCATGCAACACTTATTAACTTAAATGGAGAAGTATTGTCGCCATATACCAGAATTTGGCCCTTTGACTTCAGCAGGGTTACACAAGGTGCAAGTGAAAGCAAATTTAGCCTAGTGACTTGGCAAAAGGACAGAGCTTCATGGCAGCTAGTGAAGTTATTTATTGTTACTTATAGGTTTAATCATGATGTCTTAGTACATTTTCCTTGGATCTTGCTTCAGTTAAACCCTCCCTGAAGTTAATAGCAGTTGAGCTTGAATAAGAATGAAATGAAAATGAGTGAGGATTTGGGATTCAGCCATTTGAACAATTTGATTATTAAGAGATAAGAGCCTTTGAAGGAGGAGAGGGCTGAAACTTGACCTTGATTAACAGGGCTGCATTTGTTGTGTTTGCACTTTCAAGAGAGATCCTGAAAAGAACTAAGTCAATGGGAGCTCTAGAACTCTAACTTGAAAAATCAGACCAGTATTTTTCACGAAGTCCTAATTCTGCAGCATTTCAGTGCATACTATTCTGTAACTCCCTAAGATGACTTGGATGCATGAAGTTAGACACATGCATACATCTAGTGAAAATTAGCACCTTCATTTGTAGAGCTACCACTGTAGAGATGTAATGGATAATTTTTATCAAGATGTTTGTTACAATATGCATGTTTTTAAATGTTCTAGCTACATCTTCCTTTACAATTCCTGGGTTTGGCCACTGCTGGAACAGATCCTGAATGAGTTGGTTATGAGTCTGATCTGCTTAGGCAATCCCTATATTACAGAGTAAATTATTTAGTGAATTTGCTGTTATTGTATATTACATCCAGGCTTTCATAACAGCATGTGCAAAACTGCCAACATGCATTAGGGGCATACATTTAGTAACAGTGTTCACAAATGATATCCATGAAGATCTGGCTTGTAACATTTTTATATCCATACAACATTCAGCCTTTCCTTCTCTAAAATTGATATATTCACTAAGCATTTCTATTTGACAGATACAAGAAACTGAAAGCAAAGAAGATGACATTTCTGCAGAACATTGCAGTTTATGGAGATGCTTTTCTTTTATTGCCAGCATTTTCCTTCAGAAGCAACACAGCTGCTTCTTTTAAAGTATACCATACTCTTCATGAGTTCGGAGCAAAACAGAGGGCAATATTTTTTCATCCAAGGTACCTGAAAAGCCTTGCCCGGTTCTGGAGAACTAAGGGCGTGAAAGCATATCGATTGTCTTCTGGTTTTATGATCACTAGTGCTGCTGTTGAGCTGTGTGAAAATGTGAAGTTATATGGCTTCTGGCCTTTCTCAAAAAACATAGAGGAAGTGCCAATCAGCCATCACTATTATGACAACCAGCTGCCTAAACCAGGTTTCCATGCAATGCCTAAAGAATACAACCAAATTCTCAAGCTTCATGGGAAGGGTATTTTGAAGCTGCAGTTTGGTCAATGTGAATGAGACTTATCAGGTAAGTCACATTCTTCAAACATAAAGCATTTCAGTTCAAGTAAGTGCCAAGCAAAATAGCATGGTCTATTATCTCTCACACGTGCACTTGTCTCCCAAACAGCCAATGATAGCTATCTACATCAGGGGTTGAAAATCTACAGCCTGTTGGCTAGATCCAGCCCACAGAGAGATTTTATCTTGCCCATGAATCAGTGGGAAGAACTAGTGACAGGGGTAGGCAGTGGCAAGTGACAACAGGGGAAACAGTGGCAGCTGCTGGGGTTGTAAGTGGTGGTCTACCCTAGGATTGAGCAACATTAATTCAGCCCTCTGTTGCTAAAAGGTTGCTGACCCCTAATGTACATGAATTAGTAGGAGAAAGGACTTTAAATAAATGCATAGTACAATGAAGTTGAAAAGTTAGTCATATATGTTACTTTTCCTCCATGCTGTGGATCTCTAAAAGGTGCTTGTTAAATATATGCAGGATAGTCACAGATTATGATAGCCATAACTCTGTCAGTCATGTTCCATCATCCCAAAAATGTGTTGCTTCCTTATGCTTCTCTACGTTTGGTTTGGTGTGGCTTCCCAAAAGGATATATTGTTTAAATTAAAATTGGTTGTTTTACTGAAGATGGTCACACTGCATTTGAGAGAAGGCCAAATTCTAGCCCTGTATAGTCTTTTACCCTGTGCAAATGTACAAACAAGAGAGTATAGAAGGCCCTAAGACAATTCAGCCAGTTCTGAGCAGGCATATGGCTAGTGAATGACCCCCTCAACTTGCCTTCCTTAAGAGAAGAGGCTAAAATAATCCATGCTCTAGTAATATTCATTTGTAGAGCAGTCTCTTGGCAGCAGTGGAGAGACTACCAAAATTTACAGCAGCTCTTTGGAATGCACTGACCTGGATGGGAAGTGCACCTCAGAATAACCCAGAATCTGGAAAGCATAAATGTGACATAGGGTGCAGACAAATTGGCCCCTTGAAAGCATGTTAAAGCCACGCCCAAATGGAAGAGCACAGCTGCAGAGCTCCAATCCTGCAACAAATTAACCCTCATCGTATGAGGGCTCAAGTGAAGACAGTCCAAAGCAGAGTGACTTCATTAATTTCTGGCTACTCTGGCTTCAATAGCAGCCTGACCTGAGCTGCTGTCTCTGGATGGCATGGGGAGTGGGCAGGGGAGGGAGATCATTTCTGTAGTTTTTGCAGCCCCACTGGAATGGGAAGGCAACTAGATTGGAGCCCTTCATCTTGAGGGGGTGGGGCTCCAGTCTACCTACCCTGCCACTCCAGTGGGGCTGAGAAACCCCAAAATGACCTCCCTCCCCTGCCTCCCTGCTAGGGCTATGCAAAACAGCACCATTTTGTTTCAACTTCTGTTTAGCCATTTCAAAGAGACAGTGTTTCATTTCATCATTTTGTTTCATTTTGTTTTGAAGCACTATTCCGTTTTGTCGAAACACGTTGAAACAGCGAAATAGTTTCAATGCTTCGCCCATAGGCTATAATGGGGAATCATGAAAATGCCTAAAACTTTGTCATTTCTTGCCTGATTAGATAAAAAAATGCAGGGATGGTAGCCCCTTCTGAGGGCATGAAGCCGCCCAGGAGTGTGGGCCCCCAGATCTGCACATGGGATGACAGGAGACTGCTGCTGCTGCTGCTGCTGCTGCTGCTGCCGCCTGAGGTCATAGGCAGCAGCAATCTTCTCAGCACTGGGCACAGGGTACTAGCAGGGTGCTCCCAGTGCCAGTTCCCGGTGGCAACAGCAGCCTGCTGCCATCCTGCATGCAGATCCAGGGGCCTGCACCCCCTGGGAGGGCTGCAAGGCTGTGCCAGTCTCCTCCCGGGGAGCACGGGCCCCTGAATGTGCACACAGGATGGCTGTCCCTGATGCCTGGAACCGGCGATGAAGCCAGGCAGGCCTAGCTTTGGAACTTGAAATATTTCAAAACTTTCAAAACATTTTGAGTGCCCTTGTTTAGTTTCAAACCGTTTTGAAGCCTTTTGTTTTGTTTCAATTTCGCTTTGAAATGAAACACCTGGTGAAATTTCACATAGCCTTACTTCCCACTCCACCCCCTCCAGGGACAGCAACAGGAAATAAAAGACAGAGAGGAGGAGCCAGGGAAGACACAGCCTCTCTCCCTAGATTGGTTCTAAATTGGAGCCAATCCTCCACTATTCTGATCCAACAGCTAACATCTGTTGGGTCAAGAAGATCAGTCTAACTCAGGGGCAGGCAAAATACGGCCTGCGAGCCACTTTGGCGCTCCAGGTACTTTCATCCAGCCCATGGGCACCCACCAATTAATTGTACCTCACCCAGCCTTCCTGCCCATGAGGGTGTGAGTGAGGTGCCCACATATATACACACCCTCCAACATACCTTACTGAACCTTGCTCCCACCCTTGTGGGCAAAAGGGCCTGTCCCAGCCAGCAAACAGCCTCCAGGCGGGCTGCTGCTGCCACAACTGCAGCTGCCAGGGGACCTGCTTGGCTTCCCTGGCATCCCACCTGCTCCGGGCAGCAGGTAGGGAAGTGGCGGGAGTAGAGGCAGGGCAGAGCTGCAGTTGGGCGAGGGCAGGGAGTGTGAGGCTGGGGCTGGTGGCAGGGCAGAGCCTGCACCCAGGGAGGCGATGGAAACACAGAGCTTGGGTGGACAGGGTGTGGGTATGAAGGATCATGGCAGGATGTGGGGACCTCTCCCACATACACCCCCAAATGGTACACAGCCCCTGCAGGCAGGAGCAGGAGCACTGGCAGGCAGGGGCGCTCAGGGCATTTGTGCCTGGCACAGGCGCTGCTCCAGCCAGTGCTGCACATGGGGCTGAGAAGCAAAGCCCAGACAGGCCACCTCTATTGCGGGGGCTCCATGCGGCACACCTGAAATCCTTGGCATTTGCAGGGCAATGGGAGAGCCCGACATGCTGGAGCTGGCTGCCTTCCCCGGCCCTGCTGTGCAGGTCCAGGGACTCTGTCAGAAGTGGAGGGGAGCTCTGCCTGCTGCTTCCCCACAAAGTCCGGGGACCTGCATGGCAGGGAAGGCAACTGGCTCCAGCATCTGGGGCTTTCCCAGTGCTGCGTAAGTGCTGGGGGCTGCACATGCGCCGTGTGGAGCCCCTGCAATAGAGGCGGCCTGGCCCAGCTCTGCTTCTCACCCCCATGTGCAGCACTGGCCAGAGCTGCATGCCGTTGGGCAGCAGCACCTGTGCCCAGCACAAGTGCCCCGAGCGCTCCCACCTGCTGCTGCTTCTGCTGCAGCCAGAGGGGGCTGTGTGCTATGCAGGGGGGATGGTGAAGGAATCCCCACATCTCGCCACAGTCCCTCACATTCCACAAAAGCCACATACCTACACCCTGCCCCCACAGCCTCCCCACATATACACAGACCCCCAACACCCTATTGCCCCACCACACACACACACACACACACACACACACACACAAAATATACAAGAGTAAGACTTTATTTTTGAGTTATTATGCACTCACCTGTATATATATTACACAAACACAAATAATGACAAAAATATATTTTTTAAATAAATTAAACTGTTATAGTAGGTGTTTGACTTTTAGTGTATGATTTGGGGTGGGGGGGGCGGGGTTCTGGTTCCAAGACAGCAACCCTCCCCTCCCAAAAGGAATATTTCTGGGACTTCCAGAATGGAGGGACTTCCAGTGGCAAAGGTCAGGGGTTAGGGGAGGAACTTCTAATCCTGAGATGGTGACTGGGTGATGCAGTTATCTAAGAGCCTCAGCATAAAATCTGGCCTGGTCCTTGAGCCAATTTACTAAATGCAAGCTACAGATGCCTGTGAAAGGATTATGTTTAATTCCAAGATTCATCTGATCTGTTGTCCAAACAAGACCTACCTACATGGATGTAGATTTATTTTTCAACTAAACCAAAATCCCCAGCTCAGAGTATCTTAATCAGGTTCATTTTCCACAGAAATAGAATTTTCAGGGAATGAGACATTAAATGAATTATAATAGGACCCTGTATAATAAAATACAGTATTTTAATTAGGCTGATAGAATATACTGGTATATCTTTCAAGTTGTATAAAGAAAATCTGCTGCAAACTCAACCCAGCAATCTAGGTGCAGAAGATAATAAGCAACTTTTCTTCTGGCTAGACTGAAATGCATTTCAAAATAGTTTTTGATGCTATTTAGAAAACATGCGTTCAAATATATATTTCCCAGTTTGTTCCTAAATTGCTACTTTTAAACTTTCAGGCTGCTAGGCCAAACCAGACTTGCAAATGTTCTTCTCCTTCAGCTTTCCAGTGTTCAAAAGAATAAAACAGAATGAGAATTGCTTCTTACACATAATGTTATGTAATATAATTCTAGACTGAGAAGGACTATACACATGAGCATGTACACTTATCTATTGCTGGGCTCTCCTTTTTTACTGTAAAAATTACACTGTATAGGAAATGTTTAGAAATGTATAATGGATTTCTTAACAACATGCATAGTAGCTAATCATTTACATCCTGCAGTTTCCACTGTGCTTACTCTTCATATAATATTAATCACTGTAACTGTACCATATAATTTTAATTATGGTAACTACACCAGCTAAGAATGTAAACAGGCAGCCACTTATAAATTTTTCACCCAGACTAGAACACACAGTAGCTACAAAAATGCTTAAACATATGTATGGGTTAATTAAATGCAGTCTGTATTTGGCAGTTTGAAAACTGCTTCTGCGGCCAAATTTGCAGAATAAGCTGCAAACTCTAATCATAGGGATAAATAGCAGTGCCCAAGGATTGAATATTTTTAGTTAATGATCTATATTTTTTAAAAAAAAAACAAAACCCTAACCCTCAAAGGAAAAGGAATGAAACACTTTTATTAAAATTCATTCTGCTTACAATACTATAAACTATTAGAGATGGGTGAAAGCTTTAAATTGATGTTTTAATTGGAAATGGCCTTTTTAAAGATTAAATATTTTCACTTTCCTACTTTCTGGTAAACATAA